GTGGACTTCAACTCCCAGAATTCCTCCTCCAGTCATGTTAGCTCAGGGATTCTGGGAGTTGAAGTCCACGAGTCTTAAACTTGCCCTAAGGAGGACCTCCCCTCTCCCATGCTTAACCCCCCCCCCCCAAAAAAAAAAGTCTGGAGAAATCCATAATTCACTTTTTAAGAGTGAGACACTCTTAAAAATAAGACTCCGTTGTCCTGGCAACTCCAGTTGGAAGGTCCCCAACATTACAGAGAACCAGAGTTGGAAGGGACCTTATAGGAGATCTAATCCAACTCCTTCCCCCCCCCTCCACCTTAAGCAGGAGACCCTACGCCCTTTCTGTGTCTCGGTGGTCTGTGTTTCTCAGACTGGACAACTTGAATATGGGTGGACTTCCGCTCCCAGAATGCTCTGCTCTGTGTGCAGGCGGTCGAGCTGCTTCTGTGTTTCTCAAACTTTGGTGCAAAGTTCTCTCCGTTAACCCTTGGTGCTGCAACCACCTGAAAGCCAAATAAGCAGAGAGACGGCCCTCCAGTGGAGGGGTCTCCAACCTTGGCAACTTTTAAGACTTTTGGACTTCAACTCAAAGCAAAACTGGCCGAGGAATTCTGAGAGTTGAAGTCCACAAGTCTTAAAAGTTGCCAAGACCCTGCACTAGGCTAACCTCTTCTTCCAAACCTTCCTCCTTGGATAAATCTTTTCTGAAACTATTTTTTTCCTGAAATGAAAGAGACAGAATGCCAAATAACGGAGCCGGAAGGGACCTTGTGAGGTCTTCTAGTACAACTCCCTGCTCCAGCAGAAGACCCTATAGCATTTCGGATAAATGGCTGCCTAATCCCTTCTTAAAAACCTCCCGTGTGGGAGCACCCACAACATCTGGTGGCAAGTCGTTCCACTGGTTAATTCTTAACTTAAGGTAAAGGTTCCCCTCGCACATACGTGCTAGTCGTTTCCAGCTCTAGGGGGCGCCAGTGCTCATCTTCGTTACAAAGCCGAAGAAGAGCCAGCGCTGTCCGAAGACGTCTCCGTGGTCATGTGGCCTTTGAAGACGCACGGAACGCTCTTCCCTTCCCACCAAAGATGGTCCCTATTTTCCTACTTGCATTTTTTACGTGCTTTCGAACTGCTAGGTTGGCAGAAGCCATTGGGACAAGGAACAGGAGCTCACTCCATGACGTGGCGCTGGGGATTCGGACCGCCGACCTGCCGACCTTTCCGATCAACGTCTTAGCCCCCGAGCTAAGTTAGTTAATTAATTAATTAATTAGCTAAATTACTTGAGTCCTTTAATTCTTACTTACTCCTTAGTTCTAGATTGGATCTCTTTCTTCTACTTCAGCTTGCACTTACTGGCTGTGTCAGAAGCCGCATGGAATAGAGCTAACGCATTCATCCTAAGACTTCTTGGTGGTCTAGAAGCTAGAATAGAATGAGGGGGAAGGGACCCTGGAGGTCTTCTAGTCCAACCCCTTACTCAAGCAGTAGATCCTATACCATTTCAGGCAAGTGAGTGTCGAATCTCTTCTTAAAAACCTCCAGTGATGAAGCACCCACAGCTTCTGAAGTTTCTTGTCTCTAGGATCCAGGATTTCCTGTGAGGATTCCTGGGATCTACTCGTTAGATGCTGATCTCTAAAGGATCTTTGCTGGATGAAGTCCTCTCTTGGTTTCGGGAGATATTATCAATACGTTGGTGCTACAGTTCGTCCTGAACTTACAACCGTTGAAACCGGAATTTCCGCTGCCAAGTGGGGCGGTTGTTAAGGGAGGTGCATCCGTACCGATGACTTTTTTGCCGCGATCATTAAGGGAATCACCACAGTCATTAAGTGAATCGCACGGTTATTAAGCCAATCTTACTCCCCGCCTCTCCTTGACGTGGCTTCTCAGAAGGCGGCTGGGAAATTCACACACGGGGGGTCACATGGGTGATTTTTTTTATCACGTGACCAGTGGGACGTTCTAACCGTTGTAAATGCGAGGACCGCTTGCGAATCGCATTTTTCAGCACCTTTGTAACTTGGAACAGTCACTAAATAAAATAGTTGCAAGTTGAGGATTGCTACACCTACACCTGATAAACTACACCTACAATGGTGTGGGTTAACCAGTGCTGTGATGGAGATCTAGAAGTGGGGGTGGGTGGGGCTTGTGTAACGGATCAGTCTAGAACCTGGATCCATCTCCAATTTCTTTTGGAGCGGCTCACATGACCTTAAAAGTTCAGGTCTCTAACTTGGGGTCCTTTTGGACTCAGGACTACGGGTTGATCCCCCAAATAGAGGTGTTGGCTAGGTGGGCCTTTACCCAGCTTCAACTGGGAGGCGAGTGCAGGACTTTTCAATATCATTAAAGAGGAGGGAATAGAAGGGGAACTGACCCAATTTGCAGGTGATACTAAGCTGGCAGGAATAGCTAACACCCCAAAAGATCGGCTCAAGATCCAGATAACCTTGACAGACTAGAACACTGGGACCTATCTAACAAAATGAAATTCAATGTAGAGAAAAGTAAAAGTCCTACACTTAGGCAAGAAAACCCCAAAGGACACATATAGACTGGGTGAAACCAGCCTCAAAATACAGGAACTGGGAGAGAGATCTTGGAGTCTTAGTGGACAACCAGCGAAATAGGAGCCAGCCATACGATGAACGGTTGCAGGAACTGGGCCTGGCTAGTCTAGGGAGGAGAAGGACCAGGGGAGACAGGAGAGCATCTTCCAATATTTGAGGGGCTGCCACAGAGAGGAGGAAAGGGGGTCAAGCTATTTTCTAAACCACCCGATGGCCAGACAAGGAATCATGAATGGAAACTGAACAAAGAGAGAGATTCAACCTGGAAATAAGGAGGAATTTTCTGACAGGAAGAACCATCCACCCATGGAACAGAAGTTGCCTCCGGAAGTTGTGGGAGCTTCATCCCTGGAGGTTTTCAAGAAGAGATTGGACTCCCGTCTATCAGAAATGGTGTAGGGTCTCCTGCATGGGCAGGGGGTTGGACTGGATGACCTCCAAGGTCCCTTCCCACTCTGTTAATCTGTTAATCAAATTGCTGCTGGACTACCGCACCACCCTCTTTTTGAGGCCGCCCTTGAAGACAATCTAGAAGTTGCAATTGGTCCAAATTGCAGTGATTTGACTGCAGTGTAGATCCTCTTCGACTTACAACCGTTCGTTTAGTGACCCTTTGAAGTCACAATACCACTGAAACTTTAGTGACTTTAAGACTGTTTCCCACACTGACAGCATTCCCCGGGGTCCTGTGATTTAAATTCGGATGCTCGACCACAGATTCATATTTATGATGGTTCGCAGTCCCTTGGAGTCCCACGATCTCCTTTTGTAACCTTCTGACAAGCAAAGTCCATGGGAGAAGCCAGATTCACTTAACAACTGTGTGACTCACTAAACAACTGAAGTGATTCGCTTAATAATCGTGGCAAGACAGTTCATAAAATGGGGGCAAAGCTCACTTAACAAATGTCTCGCTTAGCAACAAAAACGTTGGGTTCAATTGTGGTGGTAAGTGGAGGACTCGCCTGTAGTCCAGTCTGACCTAGTCCTCAGGCCAGGGCATTGGCTACCAATAGATTTCCAGGCTTAATTCAAAGTTGGGGTGTTTCCGTATTGAAGTCACCTACGGGTAAACCTTGACTTATAACAATTCATTTAGCGACCGTTCAAAGTTACAACAGCACCAAAAAAATATGACTTAATGGCTGTTTTTCACAGTTACGACCAGGGGTGGGATTCAAAAATCCCAACAACCGGTTCTCTGCCCGGTTGCTGGTGGGCGTGGCCATGGGAGGGTGTGACCTACCAGAACTTTCAGGAAGGCTGTTTGTCGCCTTCCCCAGAGTCCGGAGGCTTCCCTTGGGATTCTGGGAGGGCGAAAACGGCCTTCCCCAGGCTCCAGAGGGCCTCAAGAAGCCGGAAACAGGCGCATTTTCGGAC